TTGTTGTTGTTGTTGTTGTTGTTGTTGTTGTTGTTGTTGTTGTTGTTGATAGTTTCCGATTTTGGTCAGTTTTATGAATCCGAACTCAAGGGTTTTGTAAAATCAAATTGAATTAGGAAGATTAGGTACATTCGGTCAATTTAAGTCACTTTTGCCTCTACAGGCTTCTTTTTGCCTTAGTCATTAGTACATTCAATTATCAATTGTTAACAGGTGTTCAACATGTGTTGTCCAAAGCTCGCCACGAGTTGAGGGTAGAGGGGTGTGGCACTGTTCCCCTGGAGATCAGGGAGTGTTTGCAGTCCGATGTTCAGTTGCATGAGTCAGAAGATAGCGAAGACTCGTTTGTCATCCTGAACGCTGTAAGTCCTTATTTGCCCGTGTTTCATAAACACATTTTCTCATGCTTGTCTGATATTTTTCTTTGTGTGAAAGGTCAGTGAAATCTACTCCACACCAAAAGCTTGTATATAAGTTTGCCCTGCGAGTGTAGCCCGGAGACTCGCCTGGCTGGGTCCACAAGACAAGCCTGCAGGCCACACTAGCGTAATTATGTGCGAGGCAAAATACTGTAGACTTCTGTATTGAACTATTTGTAGACAATATTTTCTAAATAGAATTTGAATTTTTTACCCTAGGATATCGAGCCCATCACTGCACTAACTCAGTGACATATCTTATCTTATCATTATTATTATGCACAGGGTGATCTCGACAAGGGGACGTTGGACGGTGAAAATCCCGGGGAGCACCTGTCTGCACTTGACTCGGACCATTCAAGCAATGCAGGTGTCCAACTCGTCAACCAACAAAGCAGTTCAAGCAGGGACACTGCCAACCCCATCTCTATTCCCGAAGCAGCGTTACCTTACACTGAAAAGGTATGAATCAGGGATATGAAGACTTTACGAATTGTCACTTGGCAAAATAACTTGATGTCTCCATGTTCAGTTATTACCCAGTTTTTACATTGACAGTCGGCTATCAAATTGATTTCGGTCTTGTAAAAATAAATTTGTGTTTTTGTATTGAAATATATTGAAATTACGATCACTAGGCATAATAATCCAACAATGATTATTGAGGTTTGACCTTGCGCTGGGAGCACGAAGTGACAACAAAAAGACTTGACTAAGTCAACCAGGAGTTCGTAACACCTTGCCCACGTTCAAAGTATAAAAATCTTTACAGGTTCACACACTGAAACCTCTCATAACTGCAATATTTCAAGCACTTTCTGATGGCCAGGTTTCAACCCATCTTACACCAAGCCCTGCAAGAATTCTTTCCTCCCAATCCCACGGAGACGAAACTCCACATGGAGAGATGTCTGTCGGGGCTGCGACAGATGATGAGGAGGATGATTTGTATAGCCCAGACTCGAGCATACAATCTGCAGCAACAGAGGTACGGACTAAACAATAATGATCATTGTGTTTCAGGCGGGTAAAATCTTTTGTGTTTACACAAATTTACTTTCTTCGATGTCTCGCCCATACTCAAAATAGGCTAACTACGATTTTGCTTTGCACGTCATCTTTAAATGAGCCGTTAATTATGCGAAAGCTTAATTTTTCAAATATGAAACTCTTTTGACGGACCAATAGGGCATCCAATTTCTCAATTTTTTGCGTAAAAAGTTAGTTTGGTGATTTTTTCATTTTTGTATTTGTTACACACATAACAGTTTACAGAATTAGCTTTTGGGGGTGGGGGCATTACACGAACCAATTTTATTGTACGAACTGACAGTTCCCTGACCTTCAAGCCCCCCCCCCCAAACTGCAATGGTGACTGGGCTCTCTCAGTCACAGAGTTGAGGTCAGTTCGGTCAAGAAAACGTACACTTTCTTCTTGGCTATTTTTCGTTGTCCATTGTTTCTCTGCCACAGACTCCCAACTTGATGAAAATATTAAGATCAAAACCTACAGATGACGCCGAAAGTGGAGATGCTCGTAAAGGTAGTGATTTTCAGGACAAAGGCCCCTTCCAACAACAAACCAACGAGCCTGTAGGCAGTAGGCCTGGTAAGTACATGTATATGGAATATTGTTGGAATACCTTCCTTCCAAAAGAAATCAACTACATTGTCATCAAGTCTTGCCAAGACGTAAACAAACGAGAAGTACAGTTCAGATGTGGTTGGTGCTTTGAATAAAATGCCCAATTGTTGTACACTTTGTAGTCTGCTGTTTAGTTATGATAGTATTCAAATTAGGCATTATGGTAAAGATATTAAAAATAATCAAATAGATCTAAGAAATGCACTCCCTTGTTTGCTGAGAAATATTCCTAATAAGAAATGCTTAAGATTTAGATGTTCCCTGTCAGTAGTTCAGAAAGCTCTTATCTCCGAATGAGCAGTCAAATCAAGAGTTTTACTAATTGTTTTAGGGTATCCTGAAAAAACAGTTGGCATTCACCAGCAACAGTCTGTAGGCGGTAGTGTAGACCGAGGAGGAAGTTCGCAAAGACCAGATGCTAGGGGTGCTGTACTCGATGGAAGGTGCCAGCAGGATCGAGGTGGCCAAGTGCTCCAAGAAAGAAACAAATCTGCTAATGGCCAAGTCTTGGCAAAGGCTGCTACGACAAAGAACAGAAGTTGCAGCGAGACAAGCCCTGAGGAAAAACATACGGCTGAAGAGAGAAATGAATACTCTGAAGTTTCCTTAAAACGTCCTGCATGGGAACAACAGGTTCGGTTTGGGACCAGGGTTTTTTCATGAGACATTTTTACAAAATGACAAGCAAAACAGTACATACGGATTGATTTGTTTTCTAACTTTACGTCATTTGAAGCAATGAATGTGTTAGTATGATAAATTCACCATTAGGCTTTTTTTTTAGTTTCCTCAGGAGGATTCATCTGATGAGGAAAAGGAACAGGAGGGGAAGGTGCAGAAGGAGGATCAGGAGGAGGAGCAATTTGTTGAAGTTACAGGATTTAATCCGTCATCAGAGGAAATGCTCAAGATGTATTTTGAGAATTTCAGAAGGTCTGGAGGTGGCGATATCAAAACCTGGGAGCATGACCCCAAGGCGGAAACTGTTAGAATGACCTTTGAGGATCCATCGTGTGCGTCATTGTTTTAGAATTCCTAAACATTATATGCAAAATACCACTTTGCAGAGGTTCAAAATATGGGTGAACACACTGAAGATATAGTTCCGGTTTTTTTTCATTTATGAGAACAAATCGTAGTGTTTGAAACATTTGTTCTCTGGAGAGGCATTTCTTAGGCTAGCTATACATGCACTGTGTATCCAATGAAAACATTAAAATAAGGATTAAGGCTAATTAAATCCACTCAAGATCTAAATAAATAATTAAAAATTGAAGCAGCAACAAAATAGCAACTGCGATTTGGTGGTGAAAGACTTAAGAAGGTTGTGTTTTTGTTTGAATGCTGCAGTGACCGACAATGTGATTGCAAGGCAACATAAGGTTGGAGGAAAGAATCTGACACTGCGATTCAAGAAATCCCGTCCACGTCCAGTCAAGAAACGATGTCTGTTGCTGAAAGGAATTCCTGATGGATGTACTTCAGAGTTTTTGACAATGTTCATTGAGAACGAATGTGGCACGGAGGACTTCAAAATACAATATGGTGAGATGCCTGGAACAGCCCTCTGCACATTCAACGAGGACATCCCAGGTGATCAATTCTTCTTACATTGAAAATGTGGTCAAGATAAACACGTTTGGGGATAAATAAGCGTGTAGTTATTATTCATCACAAATCCACCGGAGACTAGATGCTCCTAAGTAGCAGGCGTGAAATGATGAACTAAATCCTCAGATCTACTGAGCATTAGGAGGCGTTTGAATGTTAAAATGAAAATCTAACTAAGACTAACCATAAATAGGTTACTTTCTCGACTTAACCTTGATTCAACACACCTAAAATACAAGTATGCTAGTCCTGTCCTTGTCTGTTGCTACTCAGTTGTAATAGTTTGCGGTACCCGCTGCTACATCTGACACGGACCGTCCAGCAGACCCCAGCAAGCTCGATGGCTAAGCAAAAGCTCGTGGGTTCGAATCCCAGCCGATTAAGCTTGTGAATTGTTCCACAAGCTCTCAGATAAACACTGATTATTCAGTGTAACAAAAAACCGTTATTAAAAACATTGTTAATCGCTTGCCCTTTCCAATGTTTGTAGACATGGACAAAGTGATCAGACGCATTTCTTCAAAGACAATCAAAGGAGTCTACATGACAGCGGAGAAGATGCATGAGTCAGGTGGTATCCTAGTGCAAGGTGAGAAGTGAAATCGCTGGCATAATGTCAGCAATATGTCAAAATGAAATCCAAGAGATATGAAACTAGCCTGAACTATTGGCTTAATGTTAAAGCGCAGCATTTATCTTGGTAGTCCTAGATATGGTTAAATTAGAAAGGCTAGTGTCATCAAACAACCTACGTTTGTAATTTTTTTTAATTGTATATTTTTTACCGCAGTTTGTGAACATGAGTTAAGAATAAGAATAGGTTTGTTATATTTGTGTTTAAGGTGTTTCACCAAAAGTGTCTCTAGAGGTGATCGAGTTGTATTTTGGCAACAAGAGTAAAAGTGGCGGAAATGATGTCAGAGAAGTACAGCCGGGACCAATGCATACCCAGGCTACCGTCTACTTCGAAGACTGGAAAGGTAGTTCAACATTTTGAAAAACAAATGACAATTTTTCTTTTCTTTTCTTTTCTTAATTACAATATCTCTTTAAGGCTTTTCCCCTCAGAGGTCTGATGCTAATGCATCATTTTTTCCTGCCTGATTGTAAGCAATTTGTAACACGTTTACAGTTCTCTCTGTTTTTTGAAGCTTGTTGTTCATATTTACTCTTAGAAATGAAAGCTATCACAATGCTTTTTATTTATTTATTCTTCATCAGTTGTTGGAGACGTTTTGGCAAAAAGAGGCCCCCATAAGGTTGGAGGCGTTGAGCTATCAGTTGAAGAGTACCATGAATGTCTTGGAAGACTGAGTCCATTTGATGTCTCGACTCCACATACCCCTATGCCAGTCACTGTACAGGTGCCACAACCTGTCATGGAGTTCATCTTTGGACAAAAGGGGCAACATGCAAAGGAGACTTTGCTTCAGAAACTGAGTGACGTGAAGGCCACTCTGAAATGGCCAGATGGCGACGACAAGACAACAGCTAGGCTAAAACCTCTATTTGAAGATGGGCAGTGGCAGTCATCCTGGCTCAAATGGCCTGAAGTCGCACCTGAAGTTTTGACGGACTTCCTGAACAGGTTCAAGTCAACCCGGATCCCAATCCCGCCACCACTGTGGAAAGAGACTGTTGCTAGAATAGATCAGGTTGACACCAAGGGCCTTTCCATCGAACCAAATAATACTCAGCATATAGTTCATCTGGTTGGAGAGCAGCAAGATGTGGCTAAAAGAGTAAATGTCATTGGTGAAATCGTCAAGGAGTTGAGAACAACGGCTGAGTACAAAGTTAAACAAGAAAACGAAATAAAACAAGAAATTTTCTTTACACCTGACAAGTTTCAGCATTTTGTTGTCTGTGGCATCAAGGATGAAATTGAGAACAGATTTCTCCCTAACCTGAAGATCACTGTGACTACTTCAGAAGATAAAAGGAGACTCACATTTCAAGGAACGCAAAAGAACGTTCAAGAAGCAGAGTTGTTGACACGGAGAAAAATTGACAGTCTCGAGCATGTAAAATTCAAGGCAAGCAGCAACAAAACGCAGTTTGTTAACTCCCTCAAAGACAAAATCCATGAGATCTTAAGGTCGCAGGGCATTCGTGCAGCATGTATGGGATCTGACGATAGCACGATCATCGTGTATGCTGCAACAAAGGAGGATGCAAGCCAAGCCAAAGCTTACATTGATCAAGAAATAGTAGAGGATTTCATTCCCATCACAGGACAGGCTGCATCAGATGTCCTACGCAGCTCAAACGGCAGAATGCTCCTTGATGGCATCAACAACCAGAAGTTCATCATGGCAGCCTTCAGCGACAGCACAGGTTGGCCGTACATTTCATGAAGGGACAACTTATACCTAATACAAAAGAATTTGAACATTCACCGTAATTCAGATTTTCCTTAAGCCCGAAATTTGTGCCCTTGGGGCGAGGTGGAGAGAGAAAGAGAGGGAGAGCGTCCCTCCGTTGCCTTGATTTAGATTCTTTCTTTTTACCCTAAGAAATTGATTTTTCATTATGAAGCTTGCTCTATCTGCGCAGAGCTTGGAAGAAAATACAAGGCACAATAATGTTTACTTTTGAAAACTGTTTTATGGAAAACAGCACACGCTATGAGTAACTGATTGTTGTTATTGACTGAATTAAAATATTTGGCACCATACATGTGCACTGTGTTCTGAAAGAACTTTTCATTTTGCAGGGAAAGTTCTTCAACTTGTTGGATTCAAAACTAACATGGATAAAACAAAGCAAAAGATCACCATTTTCCTCAAAGATAACATCATCATGACGAAAATCATACCGGCAAACAAGATGAAAATACAGCTCATCACCATATTCCACGGGGCCGATATGGTAAATGTGGAAAAGCAGTTTGCCAGAAACCAGGTGAAAATCCAACCACAGATGCGTGGCCAAAACAAAGGAATTGTCATTCAAGGGAACGAAGAAGGTTTGGAAGCCGCAAGTCAGTTTATAGCTTCTCTGATAGCAAGGATAAAGGAACAGCTTTACCCAGTCTCAAGGACCGGCATGGCCCAACTCTTCCGAGAAGATAAAGGGAGAAAGTTTCTGGAATCATTGGAGATGAAGTTCGAGTGTGTAATCAGCGAGAATGTTGAAGAAGGTAGTGATGAGGAGGAAGAAGCTCAGGCAGGAAGAGAAACAAGGCCACTGATGACCTCGGAGATACTATGCCAAATTACTCTACCAAATAGTTTCACTTTGAAGGTTTGCAGAGGAGACCTGACAATGCAGAAAGTTGACTGCATAGTGAATGCTGCCAATGTGAAACTGAAACATGGTGGGGGATTGGCTGCTGATATCGTTGAAGCAGGTTAGTCAATACACTAGAAATAGACTTTTGGGATTGAAATTGGAATTTTTTGGTCAAATTGTGGAAACCTCTTCAATTTGCAATTCCTCTTTGAAATGGACTGGTCATGCCTGAAAGACAGGATCTCACTTCTTATCCCCAAGTGCAGGTGGTTTTACAGTGGGAATGATAGTGACTTTGTACTGGTACGAAGGTAATAAAAATAATGACGTTGTCTCATCTATGGCATGACTTAAAAATCATTAATCATATGCAATTTATGAACTGATGGGCTGCTTATTACATGAAACTGTTTGACACTCCTTGTGTTTAGGAGGGACAGTGATTCAGACTGAGTGTGAGCAGATATTAAAGAACAAGCATCACCGCCAATTACATGTGGGTGAGGCTGTTTGCACCTCAAGTGGTAGCCTACCATGCAAGAAAGTCATCCATGTTGCTGGACCTCAATGGCCACATGACAAGACCGCCATACCGAGGGCCGACGATGAGCCAACCCAAGAGGAGGTTCTCCTCTATGACAGCATCATTGAATGCCTGAAGCTAGCAAACCAAAACAAAATGCAGTCCATCGCCATCCCAGCCATCAGTGCTGGCATTTTTGGCTTCCCAGTTGAGCTTGTCGCAAGACAGATTCTCAACGCTGCAGCTGACTTCTGTCAGAACATGCGCAACCTCACCTTAACAGAGATCCACTTTACCAACAACGACCAGCCAACTTGTAATGTATTCAGACAGGCAGTGATGGATAGATTTGGTCCATTTCAGGGGAGAGAGGCTGCCACTGGTGTTCGCCAAGGTGAGTCTGTCTTTCTGCCGAGGGCACTGAACAGTAGAGGCCCAGCCAACACTAGAGTCATGGCACAAACGTGGCTCAGGGATGGCTGGACCAGGCTGAAAAGGTTGGCCCAAGCCCGGCTTGCCACAGCTTGCCCAACTTTAGCCAGCATTGGGCCCGGGCTAGATCTCGGCCAGAAGTGATATGCCAGTGGTGGCCCAGAGCTGGCAGCTGGTTGGCCCCGAGATGGTTCATATCATTTCAGCTTGGCTAAAATGCCACTATTTGTTGAGTTCACATTAGATATTGCTGACATTAGTGCCGACGATATCTATGACCAGGCAACGGAATTTCTCAATGTTTTGCCCTCTAACATTCCTTGCAGAACTCTCTTTCCACCCAATTCAAACATTATTTCAGCAGCCATTGAGTGCTATAACTTTGGTTTGCTCGGACACTGCTTCCAAATTGTGAAAGGAAGACAATTTGAGACCCAAAATAATGTATACTCTGTGAAATGACAACATAAATGTGGTGGTGATTCCTACGTTTTATGGTTATATAGCTCCATTTTTTGAAGGGTAAGGAAGTGATTCCACCCCCTTCCATCTCTTTCTTACCATCTACTTTGCCTGGACCGGCCCAACCCTGACCGGCCGGACCGACCCAAAGCTGACACCAGCTTCTATGGTATATGAAACGGTGCCAGCAGTGGGCCATCAATGGTCACGGGCAGGCCGACAGTTTGGTATTTGCTGGGGGACAAAATGTCGCTGATTGGGTAAGCGTCTCTAATTGGAGCACCGGGTACATGTTCCAAGGGATGCTAAATCCATTCAGTACACTATACATGATGAATACAACAAAGAACTGTGCGGTAAATCTGCAAAATCGGAAAAGCTGATCAGCTGTGTGATTGGGCAAAGCGACATGGTGTTTCGTTCATCGTGCTTGTCTGAAGCCACGCTCTAAAAATCAAGTAGTGACCTGAATGGCTGTTTATTTACTTTAGATGAAAATGTTTCAACCTCCATACCTGTCCTTCCAGTACTGTATTATAACTGTTGGATGGGGATTTAACTTTTCTATGTTCCTAATAAGTAGCTCCATAAAAATTCCCCCCCCCCTTAATAAGCACTTTTTGTTCTGGCATTTTCTCGACTCTCAATATAGGGCCAACAGCTACAACCTTTAGTCCTCCTGTCATGGAGGATGATACACCTGTGTCTGCACCTGCACCAAAGTTTACTGCATCAGGACAGAACTCACTGACAACAAATGAGGGAATTACCATAACACTGAAGAAAGGAAGCATCACAAATGAAATGGTACCATTAGGCTTGCGTCCTTTACCGTCACATTAATTCAGATTTATAATCTATAAGTTTAGTACAAGAGGACCATATTGTTTCATAGTAAGTTTGTTTGAGGAAAAGTTAAATTTGTTGAACTTGTACAAATTTATTTGTTTTGATATACAAACCAGGTCGATGTAATTGTCAACACAGCAGGACCTGACATGAACCTTAGTAGCGGTAAGGTGTCGCAGGCATTACTGAAAGCAGCTGGGTCAGCACTACAGAAGGAGTGTGATACAGTGATTACAACCCGTGGCAAAGTTCGTAGAGGTGACTTCATAGAGACAGGACCAGGTGCTCTCACCTGCAAGAAAATCTACCACTGCGTCTGTGAAGGTTACCGCCAAGGTGAATCCGAGAAGGTGGGTGTGGTACTAAATTGTTGTGGGCCTGCGGTTTGAAATCATACCGATTTTCAAGTTCATTTGTTGGACATTTTCTGAATTTTGCAAAAGATTATGATACAAGCATTTGTTTCCAGTAAACAACAAAAAGTAACTGTTGGTAAAAACTAAATCTTAATAATTCCACTTTGTTTCAGGTCCTGAAGAAACTTATCCTCAAGTTGATGGAGCAAGCTGAGCAAAATGAAATGCTGTCCATAGCCATCCCAGCACTCGGTACAGGCAACTTGAACTACCCAGCAGGTGTTACTGCACAGGTTATGTATGAATCCATCTTGGAATTCAGCAATCTACATCCTAACGGTCTGCTGAAGGATGTCCGGTTTGTGGTCTACGACAAAGATGCCAAGACCATTCAGGTATATCGATTGGGAATCAAATCAAAAAGATCCCGGGGAAAATATTTGATAACTGTTCATAGATTTATTAACCCCTCTGTCACCACTTCTTTATTTTAAAAAAATGACTAAAAGAAGTTCAGCAGATGCAAGTTGTGCTGAAATACATCACATGGAACCGTTCAATTCATTACGTTAATTTAAATGAATGTTTTTTATCAACTCTGGAAGTGGCCTTTGATTTAATTGGCTGTGACTTAACCTCACTGTATAATTGCTTCCACGGTATGAGGTCACTCAAGTAGTGCATTCTAATAAGTGAACAACCATTTCCATGTCGCTAAATATACTATATTTGTGTTACAAAATCTTTAAAGGGGTTCGAAGATAAAATCCAACGTCTGTCCACTCCTGGAACATCTGCGGGAGCTACAGGTTACGCCCCCAGTGGCCTCAGAAGGAAGTTGAGGAAGTCTGGATCAGCATCAAGTAATTCATTGTATAATTTTTGTGAAATTGTCTCGTCTTCCCTTTAGCTTTGCTGCTGTCTTATTGATCGTGTTAAGTCGTTTCTGAACAGGTACTTTTTTCACTGAAGTTTTGTGTAGTGGTTCCTCAACGTTTCCTTAACACAATGTATCGTCTACTTACATGATGACTAAAATGGGCGACATTTACTTAAAATAATTGCTTTTCTTAAAGGCAACGCCTACAACAAAATACATGCAAGTGCCTCACTGCAGGGTTCTTTGTGTTTATGTAGCTCCCTCTGACCGACAGCCCGAGTCCTATTCAGAAATAGTGCGTGACCAGACGGGGATGCTTCAGACAAAGATAGGATCTGTATGCCTTCAAGTTGGACCAGGGGATCTTCGCACAGAAACAACTGATGCTATTGTCAAAAGTGTTGGGCCAGGTTTGAATCTTTCTATTTATACGTGCTGCTTTTAATAGGATATTACTTGCTCCTCAGCAAGTAAATGTAACCACAGAAATGCATCACCAGAGCCCACAGACAACATACCAGAAGTCAAAACTGTTTTGAATTAGAGCAAATCTTTATATTTCGATACGGAAAACCTTTTATATGAATACTGTATTCACAGGTTTGATTTCCCAACTCATATTAACCAAAGGCTATTATTACAATAAAAAGAGTTATTCCAGAAAGTGATCTCCGAAAGGGGTTGTTTTCTCAGTGATTTAACATACGTAATTTCCTCATGAGTACTTATCGAAAAGTTTGCAAAATGATAGGAACCCGGAAGACTACAATATCTATGATTAGGCTCTGCAAATAATAATAGCAAATGTTTAATATTTGTTACTAGTTAATTTAGGTTTCTCAATTTTTGAACATTGATAGGGACCGATTTCATGAGGTGCAAAGAACAACACATTCTTACTGAAATACATACATAATCCTAAAAAGCTTCGGCATACAATTTTCTAAGCAATTTAAACCCCCTTTATTTTACTGAAACATTTCATTTTGCACAGTCAAAAGTAAAACATGATATTTTGTCAATAGTAAAATGGTGTATTCAATAATAACTGATTAATAAAACGATAATCTCCATAATTTTACATAAATTTGTGAAGCAACATATCAGCAGGCACCGATCTATGTTCAGACTGGTGTCTCATCACTTCAGTGCAGCGGTATATTCCACGTTGTCACTCCGAAATCTCCTGAGGCAATGAAAACTGCTGTGCACAAGGTTTTGAAGCTTGCAGAGGAGACAAAACTCAAGTCAGTTTCCTTCCCAGCCATAGGAACGGGTAAGACTGAAAGATATGGTTTGGGAGTTTCATTCAACATGTGTTTCAGAAGGGGAAATTTCAACTTCTTCAGATAAATCTCTGTAAAGTTAGAAGATCTTATAAACTGTATAAGACTGTTCCTTTTTGTGGGGACTAGTAAGTACATAGTAACAGAATGGTTTCGTTAAAAACACTAACAGAAGATGGAATCCATCATAAATTAACAATTTTTGCACAGGCTTTAATTGTGAGAAGGCACACTGGTATATCACAGTTTGGCTTTTGAAATGGGCAGTTTGATCATTCCCTCACACTTTACTGGTGTGAAATAATTTGCATATTTAGCCTCGGTCCCCATTTAGCTATGATAACAAACAGAACACATATCTTCAAAAGTACACTTTTGTAAGGCAAATGGCACGTGGGCAGACAAGTGCAATATCTTTCTTATTAACAGCAACCATACAATGTCCAGAACACCCCCTCAACATCCTCAAATATTTAAAAGAAGCAGTTATTTTATCAAATCAATTCTAATATAAATTAGAACTTTCGGTTGAATTGTTAGGCCAAGGTGGGCTGTCTGTCGCTGACAGTGCCAGTGCCATGTTGGCAGCTGTTGGTGAATTTGCTGTCCAGAAGAAACCTCGTCATCTCCATCTCATCCGCCTGGTCATCTTCCAACCACGTATGGTCACTGGATTTCAGGATGCTTTGAAGAAGGAAGTTGGTACCTCGTACAAAAAGCAAAAAGGCTTAGTGTCCAAAGGCATTGGTAAATATTTTGATGTTACCTTCACCTTTATTATAGCAACAAAATCCAGAAAAAATAGCTACACCATTCCTGCGTGCTTGTTTCCAAGGTTGGATTTGGGGGGGGGGCAGGGGAGCAACAGGGGCCATGGCCCCCACCTGAATAGAGCCAAACACTTTCTTTCTTTTTGAAAACAATGGAAGATTTTTGGTTTGTTTGATTTCCATTCCAAACAACAGTGTGTAAAAATCCCCCGACAGGCTGTAAAAGGTTACATTAAAAATGTCCATTATTTCTGGCATCTCCCAACCAAGTTTCCCCCCAACAAAAATCTTGGTTTTGTACCTGTTGTTGTTTATTTCTTCGGACAAGGCTGTAGAGTGGGAATAGCACTAGTGGTTATATATCAAATAACACTAAATGAAATTGAATTTGATTTCAGTTTTGTTAAAATACATCAAATTTACTGAATCCTGTTTAATTGTGCAAAAAGCCCTATTCCAACAAGCATGATCCATGGTGTGAATGCATGGCTGAAAGAAGATACTTGTTTCTGATTCCATTTTGATTGACAGGTTTGGCCAAATCTGCTTTGTATACTGCCTGGTATGGAGGTTCTACAGCTGCAGATGATCAAACAGAGAAAGGAAGTCTTGAGGAAACAATCATTCTCAACATCTGTGCCATGGACATGGCATCTATAAAAAAGGCTGTCGACAAGATTGAGCAATTCCAGAGCGAGGAATATACATCAGAGGTAATGTACATAATCTTAAATCTGCAGGTTCCACTGACTAAGCACTGAATAGTTAATTAAATACCAAAAATACCACGGGAGATCAAAGTACTTTAGGTCGGGAAAAATTAACTTATCCCTTTATACTTTACATTTCATTAAATGCAAAAACCATGGCTCAATAAAGTTGAAAACAGAGTAAATAGAGACTCGCATTAAATACTACAAGTTGGAGGTCGCGGTATATTTTCCAGCCTGCTAGTCATACTTGTAATATATTGCCGATTTCTTAATCATTTTCATTTTTTCGTTTTTTGTTTAATGCTTTTATTTTGGTATCAGGACAAACTAGACGATATGGAGATGTTGGACAAGATGACAGATAAAAATCACACTGAATTCAAAGACATTGAGGCGAAGTACAGCGTACGTATATTGTAATAAACATTTAATGGTCAACATGAAGTATAAAGCAAAGCCTTCCAAGTACACATGTTGTCATGTTTAAAGGCAAAGATAGGAGGGTTTTATTCTTCAAGGCCGGTTTATTCCTAATGCATCAAAATCAAAACAGTAATGAAATTCACCAAAACTGAAGAGTTCAACTTAAACTGGATTTAATTTTGCAACACAAAGATGCATCATTCATGATGCCTTAGATTCACAAATAATCCTTCACTCTTTTTTGCCTGGTTATTTAGCTCTCCCCAAGGCCGGATCCAATCCCAAATTTTGGGGGAGGGAAGTCTTTTATTGTTGTTTTCTTCCGTTTCTTTTAATGTGACATTTTATGGCATGTCTGATTAGTGAGGCTATGTTTAAGGGTTTTTTTACGAGCGTCTGGAAGGATGCGAAAAAAGATAGATACACCAAGAAAATCGCCTTCCTCTCATTTCTCTCAATTGATTTTTTGCTTTTGGGATTGAGGCATTGTTCCCCCCCCCTTCACCCTTGGCTCTCCCACATCCAAGAAAACTCAACAGGGGGTTTAGTGAAGTTTACATTCAGGAGGGTGAGTCCGGCCACTGTACTGTACATGGAACTTAAATGATTTGTGGAGAGCTCAGAGTATGTGGCATATAAGGTTCCTACATTGTATGAGATGCTGATTTGGACTATAGAGGACAATTTCTAGACGTTTGAGTGCATTGTGTATACCATACAAAAGACTAAATTTAGATTACCAACTGGGACAAATGGTTCAGTTGGTGAAGTGCAAAGTGTGGCTCCTATTTGCCTATTTTCTTAGTTCAAGTGGAATGTGACTGTAAACGTAACGGACGTATCCAGATTCCTCTTGCAGTTTGTTTAATGATCTTTTTAAATTTTTTAATTTAACAGGTAAAAATAACATATCCTATAAAGAGGGGCGGTGACAAATTTGTTCGAGTTGAAGGTCGCGTCATCAACGTTAAAGATGCCCTAATTGCCATTCAAGACGTGTTCAAAAAAATGCACAAGGACTTACTCCAAGCTCAACAAATGGAACTCCTGTCGAAAGAAGTAAGTAAAGACATTATTCCTTTTGATGATAAATTTTAACCATTGCTGTATATTTTAAAGGTAGACTGTTACTTTTCAGTGACACTTAACACCAGACAGTGTGCTCTGAATTATGGTTAACATCAGCTTTCAAAAACTGCATATAATACATGCAGTAAAATCATATATTTGGGACATGTATTAATTAATATCAGCCAACTTGTGCATTTCTTTCGTTTTATAGGCATATTTCAGAATACTGAATTGGTATTTCTGATGTAGACAATCCAAATGAATCAAATAAAATAATTTGAACTCCTTTCACTTTGTTTGAAAGTGTAACTGTTACTCCTACAGGTACAGTGGAAGTACAGTACCCCACAGGGAGAAGAAGCTTATGATCCTGAACTCAATGCTATTATTGAGAAGGCCTACAAGAACAAACAACCTTCAGTGGCATTGGATCTTGAAGATGGAAAGGTAACAATCAACTTCCAAAACATGGAGGAGTCTTCAAGGGCAGGGACCCTCCAGGTTCGCCGAACTAACTTGAGCAAAGGTACGTAGGGTTTTTTCATTATGTCCTTATATGAGTTGTCGGTAATTTACCAATTGCACAGAACTATCAAAAATCAACCACTGAATGATTTAACATGAACTGTTTTTGACCGTGAAGTTTTCCTGAAGGTGATTCAGAAAAATAGAACTTTTAAGTTGTGAGTTTGTTTTTGCAAGTACTACATAATACACCATTAACTAAAATCTATCCGCACAAAACTGCACAAAATGATGAATCATTCCCTTCGAGTAACTGACAAGTGATTAAATTGGCGACTGACCGAGAAGCACTGCGTTGTTTGTATTTCTTGTCATGCTCAGTTGCTGCCTTTGAAATGCCACCCAACTGGATTCCCATGCGTGACAATGATCACTTTAAAATGGCGCCATTGGCTGCCGGCACAAGTGAATACATTGCTGTGGAAAGACATCTTCAAACAACTTCGGCAGTCCAACAGATTCAGGAGGCAAGTCATTGGGAAAAAAATGCTTTTGAGGTGAACATGAGGTGGACTGTTCACTTCAAATAATAATATTTGAAAATTATTGTTCGTACAGGTAATTGTTGTGTCTCAGAAACTGAATTCAATTAATATCATTTTCTATGGTTACATGTAGCTCAGCAGTGGGTTCCCTGCATGAAAAATGTAGTTTGCACCTGTAGTTAAAAAGCTTCATTTCAATAAACGATGTAAAGACATAAATTGTCATGGAAAAAGTTTCATACACCGACATTACCTGACACCCTGTGCACAAACCCTATAAGACTGGTCCGAAAAATAGTATTTTCTAAATAAGTGCAATGGTACTTTTACTCCCAAATTTGCCTTTTTTTAGACATGGTCTCACTTTCTAATGACTTATAAATCACATATGCGGAACTCTCCCTATTGTCGGTCATGAATAGATACAAAGAATTCAAAACAAAGAGCTATTGATGCAGTACAAGACTCTCAAGGCAGCGATGGAAGCTCGTCTCGGCCGACCAGACATTGAAAAGACACTCTACCATGGGACTGATGAGAAGACAAGTGACAAGATCAACAAGCAGGGATTTAATCGCAGCTTCTGTGGCAAGAAAGGTAAAAGATACCAACATATGGAAAAATGAAACAGTTTACTGGTTTTACATCTCAGCTGGTAGTTGATTAGGACACTTGGTTTTATCACCTGTAATATTATGTGTTTTTTCTTTCAGCAACTGATTACGGAAATGGAACCTACTTTGCTGTGAAGGCTGATTACTCTGCACAGGATAAGTACTCCAATCCTAACGCCAACGGTGTGAAGCATATGTACCTAGCAAAGGTTCTTGTTGGAGATTACGTCAGAGGAAGTCAAGGTATGATAACTCCTCCAAACAAGCCGAGTCATCCAGATCAACAGTATGACAGCGTGGTTGACAACATATACCAGCCCGGCATATTTGTCATCTTCCATGATGCACAAGCATACCCAGAATTTCTCATCAAATTTAAGTAAGAGAGTAAGTTGAGGTTATAATGTTGAGATGTTACTGCATTCATTCCAAGGGATCTCAATGGACAGTTTGTATTTAACACTTTAGACAAAGCATCTGGCTGAGAAAAGCCCGTTAAAAAAGCGTTGAATGCAAATGAAATTTAGTGTGAGCCAGAGCTTTACCGAATCGTTCAAAGTACATAATGAGAATACAATTTTTTCGTTGAAAAAGCTTGAAACAAGTCTTTAAAATGATTTAAATTAATTTAACTTTTAGACTATTCATTACTGCATCAGTGGAAGTTATAGGTGTCAGTCAGATATATCACTTTAACAGAATACATGTACTTTTCAAACAGGTAAACAAAAAATAGGAGGGGAAAACCTGAAACCAGGAAATTGAGGATTGAGTGCATGATAACAACATGACCGCATGCAGAATGATTCCTTTAAAAACATATCTTTTTTGTATTGACCGGTATTGTTTGACTGCATTTTGAAAATGTAGCGATAAAACGTAAATATTAAAATGTGTGCTTTTCGGTAGAATATTTGAAGGGAAAATTCTGAGAATTGCTTACAAAAATCACTTTTGTACTTGAAAAATATGTCAGGTTTCAAAATCATGTTGGTTTTAATAAGTTTGTAAAATGTTACTGGGTACATTTTATTGTCTCATTGAAAAAATATTCATATCGATAAAACCAAAAACTGGCCAATACTAATACAAACAGTCTTGTTCTATTGATAGTGTTACTCAAGCTTTCAGGTTTAAAATTAATCATAAAGTTTGCCAAATGTTTCACCGAAGGCCAAAATGTAATGCTGTCCAGAATATGAACATTTCGCATGCAGTGTCCTACTCTTTCAAAACTCTCTTCAGGTGGAAAATTCATCTTAAAATCAGTGAAAGTTCAAAAATGTAATTTTGATTTTTGGAAATTCCTTTTTAATTGCTACAACACACATGTTGAACTTTGTGAGCTTTTCAATGTCACATTTTAAGGTAAATTTGTGTTTTTCAGCATAAAAGTGCAGGCTCGGCCATGCTACTCACGGGGGGATGTTTTCCAGTGATAAGAAAGAAAGATGTTTTGTGTATCGTTGTTATTACTTCATTTGTGAGAAAATAATGCCTAGGCATTTCTAATCTACCGAACTAGGAAATAGAAACTATGAAATGATTATTAATGTGATACAAAATTAATGATGCATTGTACTCAGATAGCTGGGAACATTAATCAGTAAGACGGAAAAACACAAAATTGGACTTATGTAATATAGTGACACACGTAAATTACTATAATTTGTAAAAATCGACAGTGAAAAATAATCAGTGTTGCCAGCACTTCTTGTGATTCAACCAACCTATACAATATGTAGCTCAATTGATTTGAATAGTTCAAAATATTTCAATTGTTATCAAGGTATCAAAGGGAGTTGGTTTCCCATGTATTTACCCAGCAACATTTATTCCTCTTGCTTCTGATATTGACTTACCAATAGGCCCTTTACATGTAGGCATACGTGTACATCATAGGACTTCTCGTTGCTGTCTTTAAAACCTTGTGATAGCTATTAGGATGCAATATTCTGCTGTTAAATTTTCTGCAGCTTAAACTAATTAGTATCTATTCAAACAATATAGATTGTAACACATCTTATTTTGCAAAACTCTGCACCGCATGCGCACCATAGCAAGGGTGGATCCAAAAACCAACATTTTTGGACAAATTTTGGGACAAACTACTTGTGATTTAATTTTTGGGACATTTTTCCATCTGACCTTTTATAACTTTTCTGAGGGCCGAAGCTACACAGTCTTGGGGCTAAATTTGTACACGTGTTAGGAAGGAAGAGAATTGCAACAACTTGCCGTTATCTCATTCGAGAAAATTTCTTAGATTTTAACGAGGGAATGGCCCCCATTGAACCTTCCCCCGGATCCGCCCTTGCGCACTAGCTATTATTACACGTGCAACTTCCACATGGCCGACGTTGTAACTCACTCTCGTACAATGTACGGCGCGTTGACCACGTGCACGGTACATCTTACATCACATCAGAAATACCAACTCTAATTTGTGTAGTAGGCCTATTAACCGTAGCTATCGTATAACAGTTATTTTCATTACAAGACTAGTGATTTCTAGTTATCGTCACTGATTAACATTTGAAAATGTAACCCAACCTGGAAGATTGAAAATAAATAAGATATTTTAAAGGATAATTACCTTCACATGCATATGTAGCCTCGTTGGCTGGATATTGGCCTACTGTCTACTTGCAAGATCTGGCTTGTCAGTAGTTTCTTCCGGAGATGGATTCTAGTTGTTTCACACATAATGTATTAGCACCTTCCCAGGGCATATACCTGTAAGAAGAAATCACCACCTAACTGGTTCCTGGTCAGGTGGAAGAAAACTCCTGGTCAGAGCACCCACTCGGTGTTTGTGTACTCGTAGTATGCATGATATGCACCCTGCCAGTCGTGCCGCGAAGCCAACGAAGCAGAGTGGAAATTCTCATCGGCCCATATCCACTCTACAAAATTCATGGGAAAATTCTCTCTGACTAAAACGATACACTTTGTTGGCATTTTAATATCTCCTAGGGCTGGGGCAGTGCAAAGGAACCCTAACCTAGAATTCTCAGGCAAATTCCCTTTGTAACTGCGCGCGGCCCGTCACGTCCTTGCGAGCATAAAGGAGCGGCGCCCTCTAAGATATTTTGTGTTTCACCCGAAGTTTTCTGATAACACCCACACCCACTTTCCGATTTGTTTAGCCCTCCCCACCCCATTCAAATGCTGTCTTTGACCAACAAGGTGGATTAGGACGCTAAAGTAGCGCCTCTCTTTCTGGCTTCAGATATTTGTATTCGATCTGTCCTTCTGTTGATAAAACAGCGACAATTCTCTCATGAAATATTTTGATACTACAACGAAATTAACCGTGATTAACAATTTCATAAGTAAAACAAAGTGACCAGTGTGTTTTCTTAAAAACTTGCCCACGGATGTGTCACAACTGTTGGCCTATTTGAAATAGAATTTACAGAAACTGTTTTGCAGATGAGCACAACTTTTTATCGTTTTATTTCACGACAAAATCAGAAAAGTAAAAGTGTTATTATTCCAATCCGAAAGAGCCATCTTAAAGCTGCACGCTGCAAACATTGAGAAGGCATTTTCCTTTTAACTCAACATGGTGGGCTTTGTGTTCAGAGGTTTATTTGCGTGAGTTGAAAAGTTGGCCTATGTACGAACCTGTACTTTTCACACATTAACTCACAATTTATTGTTTACACTTTTTTAATCACAGAAGAGGATTTGGAGGTACTAATTAATATCAAACAGAATGCTTATCCAATTTTTAGATTTTTTCAGAATAATTTAAGCTCTAAAGAAGAGTTTCACTTTCTTCACAAATGTTCACCCTCGTCCACCCGTTTTAACCCAGCTATATGCCTATTCTAATGACCATCATTTTATACAGAAAGATTGCAAGTCTTGATTAAAGATTATTTTGAGAGGTTTCCAAGTTCTGAAGTGAGTCTACCACCAACAGAAGAGATTGGACCAACCGATATATTTTGGATTGAAGGTTGGCCTTTTCTTAGCGAAGCATTCTGCTCCTTCGCGGTCACAGTTACACATGAAAGCTTTGCATTGTGCGTCCTGGTCATTTGCGTCGTAGTCTGCTTGTGCTTCTGTGACAAAATGATGACAAAGAAAACTTATTATGTTGTGACCGAAGATAAACTGAAAAAAAATGAGAAGGAAGTACATTTCAAGACCGACGTACCGAGAACTGTTCCCTCAGTGACCATATGACAAATAATGCCAATTTAAAAAAAAATGATGATAAACTGCCTTTTAACTGCAGCGACAGACCACAATGAATATGGCGTCATTTTCTGTACACTTTCGTAATTTGTCATGCGCCTCTCACATTTGAAACTTGACAACGCATCGACTATGTACCCCAAAATGAGAAACCATGCATGTCAGTGATATTGTTTTCAGTTTACGAATGAATGATATCAGACTTTATACTCACTGCATGTAATCTGACATTTTCCATCAGAGCCTGTTATAGTTTGGTAGTCATATTCGATGGTATATCTGTCAATCATACTGCAACCGTTGGACGTTGCCGCCTTGTAGCAGTTGTCATGAGTCTCGCAACACCTTCAGAAAATCGTTGCAGAAAAACAAAACAAAGAAAAGGACAATAAAAAGACAACTAATTTACGTAAAAGTTTATCCTTTCAATAAACTGACAGAGCCAATTACGGAGCTCTTTCAAAGGGGTGAGTCTCCATTACCCAAAAACTAATTGAAAGGTTTCAAAAGCTGTTACCCAAATACATGTAGTTTATTACAAGATTATAAATTAGTACAACGTGTTATTCCCTGAAAATTACAGAGATATTAGACCTGAATACACGCTGTCTGTCTCCATTATCCGTCCTTTATTTCCTGGCAACCCCTACATCCTTTGTTTCCATATAAAATGTTTTCCGAAACCATATTACGGCAAGAAATCGTCAAGGAATGGAACTCACTTGTCCGTCTCATCTACTGGAGTTCCACTTCCGCCGAATCCACAATAACAACCGTAGCCAAGGTAGTCACTAATCGCCTGGGAGTAGCTTATTCCCACAGAACACGCATTCATGGAGTTAAATTGCAGTATGTTGCTTGTACCGATTTGCTTGCCTGAAACAAAGATATTGACAGCAATAAGTGAATTGAATTTCCCGCCTCACTTTTGTTCTTTGCAACAATACTAATGCAACCCTCTTCAATTTGAGAAATTTATCCCTCACCTCTTTCCAAAGTTTCCGAAGAGAGGACAGAAGTGGTTTTAATGCCATCACTAAGAAGGAATTGAGAATCTTTTACCTGAAACAAGCGTGACAGCTACGAGTAAGAGAAAGATCTTCATGATTAAATGCAGTCCAGTGAGTTCAGGGTTTTGCCAGGGGTATACAGGGAGAAGACGACCGTGGTAAAAGCTTCTGTGATGACTGGTGGCGAAGTGTTTGCTTATTCAAAAATACTCCTTCTTTTATTCAGGAATAGAAATTAAGACCTTGGCCTAAAGTGCTGAGAAGTATGATTGACATTCGGGTTAGCACGATATCAGGATCCTGATCTGAGGACTGAAGGACTAGATCTGGAATATTTATTTTCAAAAGCCGATGTTTGTTATAATGTAGAAGATTATAATTATGGGGGGCTATTTGAACGGCTCTAGTGGAGGAACGACGCACTTGAGTTTACGCAGTATCAAACCAGTATTGGAACTTGCGTGTTCAGTCAGTGATAAAAGTTTGGACGGTAAGGAGTTTGCGATACCAGAAGATAAAAATCTCCTGCTAAACAGATGGCTAGCAACATGCTTTTATTCAAGCTATTTTCGAATGACTCCCACACTGACTTTATCACTTGGAGGGTTTTTTTTTTCCGAAATAGTGTTTGGAAAGTCTTCCGTTGGTTAAAATACTATCCCTCGCTCATAACTTACAAAGGCGAATCTAGAACCACATTTTTTTGCAAAGGAAGGAAATGAAATAGATCCCCCAAATCGCCTTTCTCTCATTATTTCTCCCACCGCCCCTCAAAAAATTGCTTCTTTTTAAAGGGGGGCATGGCCCCTGTTACCACCCCCCCCCCATGTTTGCTCTCGGGGAATGCTAGTGCGTTTTCATACATGGTTACATGCATTTAATATCATCCGTTATTTAAGTGCACTTTCCAGAGGTGGGTCAGAAAATAGTTTATCAGCATCAAAAGCGCGTTTGTTGCGTGTGAGAGCGTACTGCTTAAACTTCTGAGGTCGAAGTTGAACCTGCTGTCTGTTACCCTGACTTCTTACATTTCTTAGAAATAAAAAGTGTAATTGGGGCCAGTATAGCTTACCAGTTTGTCATTTTCCTCTAATCTTTTGTCAAACTCAAAGACTGAAATGGATATCCCGAAAGTGGGAAATATCAATACAGGTAATTAAATTGAATTACAGAACAACTCGCAAGACTGTTTTGATGTCCACTGCTAGGCAAGAAGGCTCTTTACGATGACGGAAACGGCACAAGACCAAGAGAATGATGGAATCAGACAGACCCAAACGTACGGTAAGTAACCAGGATCGGCTAGGACATAGCCAAGGCTACATGAATTTATGGCCTGTGTTACTACCATTTGAAGCAAGATATGGGACAGAGAGAACCCCCCCCCCGCCTTTGCGTTGGTCATTGTTTGATCGGAATCTCAGGAATTGTTTACAGACTTCTAGCGGGGATGTGTTATGTAACAATAGTCTAGAGTGTGTGTAGGGATTGGACAGGTAAGGGGGGGGGGGTACCCCTCCGTCCCATATCTTGCCTGGTATGCATGCAGTTACTACCGGTATATATGTAGGCCTGTGCGTGCATGCCGTCACCGCATGGCCATGTTGGTTATTCATGTAGGCCCACATGTAACACCGTGGACGAATACTAATATGATGCAGGCCTATACTAATCATGTGTTGTAGTACAAAAACTGAATATATTAAGAAATAGGACCAGTCTACGTGGTAACGGGGATTATAAATTTGGGGACCTTGTTCCCAGAAGGGTGGCATGTGAGAGCTACATTTTAACTTTTGAATTCACCTTGGTAGGTGACTGCAGTGACTGTGACATCATGCTCAATAACTATAGGGTTAATGTTTTCGAACAAGAGTAGTGTTTTTGAGTTTTTAGGGAAATTTTGAGGGGAAAGTGTGTTTTAACACATGACACATGGTGGATTCAAATTTGCATTGCTAGTTTATTGGAAAAAAAGTCACATATTATTCTCACTGTTTGAAATTTCCAAAAAATAGGGTCAGTGCAATAAAGAGAGTGTTGCCTTTGTTTTTTGGGGGACTTTTGCACGATTAAAATGACAAAAAATTGGGGGGTCCCCAAGTAAACATTTTTGGACAATCCCCACATGTGCCTACTACTGACAGTGACGAAGTAGGGGCCTAAAACCTATGTCTTGTACTTTTATGTCTGGAGTTACATCGTGGTTATACTACTGAAGTCCAAAAAGCAGTGATAAGTGCATTTGTAAGAACAAATTTGTAACATTTGTTGGGAATATGAAACAAGGGGCCATAATCTAGTATAAGTTAGAGAGCTAGTAAATGAAACCATGTTAATTCACATAGAATTGAGACACAATTATATACCATGCAACTCATGTATCCACCTTGTTGCGGACTATGCAACCAGTTACATGTGAAAATACCTGAGAAAGAGTTCCTATGGTCAACACTTGATGCCCCTGTGCACAAACCTATATAAGGACCTGTATGAAAAAAAGTGTTCTTAGTAAATGCTTCAGAATTTTCTTAGCTAAAGTTCACCTTTTAGGTCATGTTATCACTTTCTGATGACTGTTGTAACATTTTTAAGGGAAAATGAGTGTTTTCTGTATATGAACCTCTTTCCAATACCTGTTAGCACCCTCTTTCATGTCTTTCCCCGTCCCTGACTCCAGCCATATCCCTGCGTATCCGTATCCCTTTATATGAATGTTCACTCTCTGAGAGCTTCTTCAGCCTATGGAGGAATGTGTCCTTATTCCTCCATATTGAAACTTGGACTTTTTGACTTTCTCCATTGTAGGTATGGTACAGCTTCATTCCCTATGAGAATTTTTTTTTTACCTACACGTATCAATTCACACCTCGTGAAACTGCAGTCTTTTGATGCTGTTCCATTCTAATTCTCTGCTCATGTACATATATGTACATGTGTATCCCTGTGTCCACAGCATGGAAGCTTTTTCAACATTCTTGAAATTCATAGCCAATGCTTTGAATACTTTTACTGCGAAGCCATTCATTTCCGGGGGGTGCCTTCCTGTTGGGGGTGCTTTCCTGTTGGGGGTATTCTTTAATTACTCCTAACTTCACATTTCAACAAAACTTGAGGTTGAAAGAACTATAGTTATAAATGTAGCTTTAATTCTGTATCATACTCACTCACCTTTAAGTAGACGTTGTAAAAATAGCCCCTTGGGTGATTTGCAGAACAATCTTTTCCCCCAAACGATTGGCATTCCCAGGATTACCTATTTTGGTTTATTTTTAAACATACCATGCTTGTTACAGGAGTGCAGATGTTAACAGAGGACATCTATGTAAACTGTTATTGGTCTCAACTAGAGAGGGCAGTCACACAACTCCTTGCCCAAGAACCAGGAGTTTTCATCCGATTATCCTATGAACAAATGTACAGGTACGGTGTGAAACACTGACCCTTTGTGTAGACTTCTTATAGATCTCGTTTCATGGTGTGTATATCAAGAAGACACGCCAAAGATATCAAAGTTTACATGCTTTTCTGACCCATGTTCTTACAGCTGTGTCTACAAGTGTGTATGTCATCAATATTCAGAACGGATGTATGGGGATCTTAGAAGAGTCCTTACTGGTTATCTTCAGGAGAAAGCTGTATATCTGCAGGTATTGCAACAGGTATACCTCCTCAGGGAGGAGGTAGAGGTATACCTCCTTAGGGAGAAGATAGAGATATACCTCCTTAGGGAGAAGATAGAGGTATACCTCCTTAGGGAGAAGATAGAGATATACCTCCTTAGGGAGAAGATAGAGGTATACCTCCTTAGGGAGAAGATAGAGGTATACCTCCTTAGGGAGGAGATAGAGGTGTACCTCCTTAGAGAGAAGATAGAGGTATACCTCCTTAGGGAGAAGATAGAAGTATACCTCCTTAGGGAGGAGATAGAGGTATGTTTCTGAGGGAGGAGATAGAGGGAGATGGAGTGGTTAAACTGCGGTTGTAAACCTTTTCCCCAGGGAATGATGAATTGTTCATCGATTTTTGCCGATGTAAAAATGATCGATCCCAGTAGATATACATGAATTAATCAATTAAAAGGATCCATATGTAAATTGCCCACTTTGGATTAAGTTACACGCTAGTCATAAATTGAAAGAAGTAAATGTCATGAATTTGAATGGTTTACATGTATATAAAGTTGAACCAGTGTTAATTTTTGTGTTTTCAGATGTGTAATTCAAGTGAATTTTGTAAGCGATTCCACACTGTGCTAAAGCAGTACACCCAAGCTCTCGGAGGAATAGTGCCTATATTTACTTTTTTGGTAAGTAACGATTTTATGCCGTTTCTCCCTTTGTGAGAGGAATGCCTGGGGCATAGGCCTTCCACTTACGAAAGGTCCAGGGGTACTGAACAAGTGTCAGTTGATACTGAACAAGTGTCCATGGATACTGAACAAGTGTCAGTGGATACTGGACAAGTGTCAGTGGATACTGAACAAGTGTCCATGGATACTGAACAA